AAAAAAAGAAGATGTGACAAACATATACAATGGAGTTCTATGCTTCTGTCAGAAAGAATGACATAGCCCCATTTATAAGGAAATGGAAAGATCTGGAAAAATTATATTAAGCCACACCCAAAGAAAAGTGGGTTCCATGATTTCCCTCATTTGCAATAACTAGACTATGTCTATGATTTTCTTAACAGGGGATCTGAACAGCCCAATTGCAAACTGCATACTACAATATATAATGAAGTATATCAACATGAATGCCAAGAATTTGTAATAAGATGTTTTATTTTGTTTTGTATACAGTTATTTCTATTTCTTTTTCTACTTAAGTTTTCTGTAAACTTGTCTTGTAAATAAGTAATTCCAATACGTGGAAAGGGAATAGAATCACAGAAACAGCAGGACAAAGGATGAACTAATGCAACAATGATACTCACTTGAACACTATGCTGGAAATGAAATATAAAATTGGGAGGGAGGGGAGTAGGTAGGAGTAAGGGGGAGAAAATGAGGGAGAGGGTAACATTACCTTACCTATGTAATTGTAACCCCCATGTTCATCACCATTACAATAAAGATATTAAAAAGAAAGGAAAAATGAGTGTCACCTACTAATTGAAGTGATTCTAAGAATATAAACTCATATCTGATTTAAAAATGGAATAGAGCTGATCAAATATGTAAGTTTTATCTTAAGAGGGCCTATTTCTCCCAGTATGTGCTTTGTCCCTGAAGCCATGCAGAAGGTTTCTATCTGGTCTTAACAAGATGATGTAGCACTTGGGGGCAAAGATACAGCCCAATAGTCCAGCACTAGAGGCCAAGATGGAGAAGACCTCTATAACCAACATGACATCCCCCTTGGCACTGTGGTAAACAGGCAGAAAAGTGAGCCAGACAATGCAGAACAGCAGCATGCTGAAGGTCAGGAACTTGGCCTCATTGAATCTATCAGGCAGGTTCCTGGCCAGAAAAGCCAGCATGAAGCTGGCCAGAGCCAGGAAGCCCAGGTATCCCAGGACACAGTAGAAGGCGGTGAGGGAGCCCCTGTTGCACAGGATGATGAGGTGGCCATGTTCAGAGTGTGCGTCTGTGTCCACGAAGGGAGGAGAGGTTCCCAGCCAGATTCCACAGAGAGTCACCTGGATCAGGGTGCAGATGGGGATGATGAAGTTAGGAGCCCCGGACAGCAGCAGCCACCTCATCCTTCTCCCTGGAGAAGTGACCTTGAAGGCCAGAACCACAGTTACAGTTTTGGCCAAGACAGCAGAAACAGCTACAGTGAACACAACTCCAAATGTGGTCTGCTGTAGAATGCAGGTGCTTGTGTTGGGACGGCCAATGAAGAGCAAGGAACAGAGGAAGCAGAAGATGAGGGAGATGAGTAGGATGTAGCTGAGAGCCTGGTTATTAGCCTTGACAATGGGAGTGTTCTTGTGTTTCACAAAGACCCCAAGAACAACTGTTGTGAGTATAGATAAAGAAAGAGCCATGCAGGCCAAGGCCATCCCTAAGGGTTCTTCATAAGCCAGGAAACGTGCAGCTCTTGGGAGGCACTGGTTTCTCTCTGTGTTGGCGTACTGATGATCTGGACACTTCATACAGTGCTCCATATCTAGTGAGGAATTCAAATAACCATTTATCCCTTTCCAATACTTAAAAGGAAATTAGGAAATCTCTATATAGGGATAATTCTGACATGTCAATACTTATTAGCACAAAGTAAATTTTACCAAGTATTACCAGACATGTTCAGTATAATTTTTTGGGGGTCCAGTTGTGGGGCCTGAACTCTGGGCCTGGGCGCTGTCCCTCAGCTCTTCAGCTCAAGGCGAGCGCTCTACCACTTGAGCTACAGCGCCACTTCCTCATGATTTGTTTTTTAAAAAACAAGTTTTATCATTCCTTTTGCAATTAAATTGCTAAGTGAAGGAAGAATTTGTGAATTCTAATTCAAGACTTTTTGTATTGACTTGCATGGATGCGGGGGACTCTAGGAGACAGCCTGAATTTCCCCCTCAGCCATGAACTTACCTGTCTCATTAGTAATGTCATCTTTTGAGCAGGGTGTGCAATCAAAGCAACAGGCAGCCTTTCCGTCCTGAGGGGATTTCCTGAATCCAGGACCACAACTCTCACTGCAGACAGAGTGAGGACGCTGATGGAAATCTGACATGTATCAGTAACTATTCAGACTTTTATCTAACATCCCAAATCCATTGTTTTATAGGGTTGGATTATTTTTTTAATTTTAATTTTTTGTGAACATACTGTATAGTGGGGTTACATGGATTATTAAGCATAGTATTTTATGCACATAAATCCAGTCAGGACGTGAATGCTGTTATAGGCTCCATATAATGTGACCACAAAGGCTTGTGTGCTATAGTCTCGACCTCTAGTCTGTTGAACTAGTGAAAATTGTGCGAGCTTTAAAAGGTTAGAGATTAAGGTTGAGAAAGTAAATGTTATTGGCTACCCTATGGAGCTTGCTTGAATTCATGACGTTTCCTACTCATTGTGTACTTGTGAAGAGCAAAGTTCTCTTTCAAGTTAAAAGTATACTGTAAATAATGCATAGACCACACATTTTTAGGGTTATGTTAACTCCATGTTCACCTTATCTTACAGTGGCCATGTGGTGAGAACCTTCTTTTCACACAGGATCGTCCAATGATTCCTCTTACCAAAGATTACTAAGTAGCAACTAACATTGAATGAAAAAAGAAGGGAGAAGAATGAAACTTTCAGTGACATAAAGTGATTCCTTGGGTACTGTGTTATAGTGTTAGAAACCTGCTAATAAATATGCAATTTATATTTTATGACAATATGCTAAATCGTCATTAGGAACCACTAATTTCTTTCTCTTTTTTTTTTTTTTTGCCAGTTATGGAGCTTGAACTCAGGGCCTGGGCACTGTCCCTGAGCTTCTTTTGCTTAAGGATATCACTCTATCACTTGAGCCACAGAGACACTTCTGTTTTTTCTGTTTATGTGGTACTCAGGAATTGAACCGAGGGCTTCATGTGTGCTAGGCAAGCACCCTACCACTGAGCCACATTCCCAGCCCCCACTAATTTCTTTTTTATTTCAGTGCTTATCCTGGGGCTTCAATTCAGGATCTTTGCACTGCTCTTGGGCTGTTTTTTCATTGTTTGCACTCTACCTCTTGACCCATAGAATAACCTGAGCTTTTGGTTGTCAGTTGAGATAAGAGTCTCACAGATTTTTCTACCAGGTCAGGCTTTAAACTGACCAATAATCTTAGAACTGAGAATGTCAGTCTCCTGAATAAATAAGATTACAGGCATGAGCTAACAGCACTGAAACTTAATTATTTGGTGGTTAAATTAAGATAAGAGTCCCACAGATGTTCCTGTTTGTACTGACTTAAAACCATGATGTTCAGATTCCAGCCACTGCAGTGGGGAATATTAAAGGAATGAATTGCTGGCATCCACTCAGATACACATTTTAAGGGTGACTTTTGCTTACTTGTGCATCCTTAAAATAATTACAATCGATTCCAACCTACCTCTGTGGTTCCTATGGCCCAGTGTACCATATCTTCAGATAAAGACAGTTGACGACCATGTAGAACATATGGAGAAAACTTTCCTACATTCAACTTAAGTTCAAGACCTTCTGGAAAAGTCCAAACATTCACAATGTCATATTCTGTCTCTAACTTCATTTTCTCATCCAAAACCACTTGATCTCCAGCAGGATTATGAAACTGGATATTCTTCAGAAAATAGTGCAGCTAAAATGACATATCATTTTATGGTGAAGTACATGCAACATTTAAGACAGAAGACTTCAACTTAGAAAAGCTCCCAATTGCCTTTAATTTATGATTCTGAATTCAAGGATAGCAGAGACACCCAATGGAGTACAACATAAGAGAATTTATGGAGGAGTAAATATAATATTTCTGAATCCAAAGGTGCAGGAGGCAACAGAAAACAATTCCATGTAAATAATCATGCATGAGACAATGCTCAGCTGCTAGCTACAGTTTCCATAAGGAGTGATTTTATGAATGTGCTTGTTACATTATTATTACCTAAAATATTATAACTAAAGTATTAATACGTAAAGTAGAATGAAACTATGTCAGTTATGAAAGATGTTTAATTTTGTTCGCCAGGCCATCTTTTGCTCTTATGTAAGAAACTCATGAGGAAAAAGTGCATGTATGGTTTTCAAATATCAGCTTTGAGTGCAGTGCCTCAGAGACATTAACACAAGTATAGTCTTCCTGAGTGTTGGAAAAGTACCTGGAATATTTAATTTCATAGAGTAAGAAAAACATCTAAGATGCAACTTTGCTCATGCCATGTGCCTCCTGAAACACGTCTTTACCTGTGCAGGGGAGGTCACTGCCCCTTTTCTCTTTCCCACTGTTTGTGCTTCTGCTTGATGAAGAAGCAGCTCATGGAGAGCCTGGGCCACAGCATACACAGCGTTGTATATATGGTAACTGTCTCCAGACATAGTTGTGTCAAAAATGTGTCCAGGCAGCCAGTCGAAGGAGGCTTCATGAGGACAATTCTCCCACAATACACAGTCAGACTCTGAATCTGAGCAATTAAAAGACAGAAACCACAGCCTCGCTAGGAAAAAGTCTTCTGGGTATTTGGAAGGGTTAACTGCCTTGACAAAATCTGTGAAACCTAAAATATCTGGGTGATGGGGTGAAAAAATGATAGGAACATGGATTGAACCTAGCATAAAATATCTCCTCCTTGTGGTTAAATCCCAGTGTGAGTTCATGATGCAAACTTTTCCTTTTATGAAATATTCCTCAACACACATCATTAAGTGTAGTATGAATTCATTATCACCATATATGATGAGGACATTGGCTGATGATTTATTAATCTGGTCATAAAGTGTCATGAATTTTAATGTCAGGGCATAGTTTGGGATTACTAGCTCAAAGGCTACACAAACGCTATTCTTGGTCATCTCTTCTTTCAATTCAGGAAGAATCCACATACCATTCTCATCTTGTGAGGTTAGCAGTCCCACCCAGCTCCAACTGAAGTGAAGCAGTAAGGAGACCACGGCATTTGCTATTGACGTGTCCTTTGAGGCCATCTGATAGAGAGCAGGAAACTTGTTATGGTCACTGAGGGCATGATCAAAAGGTCCAAAGGTAAGCTAAAGGACATGAAAATTGGATGCTCCATGAATGAGAAGATTTCCATCCATCACAGTCTCAATCACAATGTATATTGTGTTAACAAGTTGTTGGAAGTTGGTGGAAGGTAGGTTTTACTTTTAGTATTTAAAAAATAATTTTTAATAGTTTACAACATATCAGTTTGTCCATACGCTGCCTCTTGATCTTTGTCACTATTTTCATCAACACTTCCCATCTACATGAATCCTGACTTTCCTAGTTTTATTTTCACACATGCACATTGAATATTATGTTGTATTTTCCCAACCATGTATTCCCTATTTCTCTCCTGCTTTGCACATTCCCTTAACACCTATACCCCTCATACTAGATATTCTTCATTTATCTGGTGTTCATTTTTTATACTTTTAGTTGATCTGGGAGGCTATACCATGGAATTCCACCCCTATGTGTACCATATATAGCTTAATCTTGTATATATGTAAATATGTGTGTGGTCTCTATTTATTTAATATTTCATGTTCATAATTTAGCTTTAAGTTTCAGATACAAGAGAACCCATGCCACCTTTCTCTTTCTGAGGCTGACTTACTTCATTCAACATAATATCTTGCATATGCAACTGAGTGTGTGAGTGTGTGTGTGTGTGTGTGTGTGTGTGTGTGTGTGTGTGTGTGCACTAGTACAGGGGCATGGCATGAACTCAGGGCCTCATGCACTTCCTTGGCTTTTTCTCCCAAGGCTCACACTCTACAGTTTGAACCGCATATTACTTCCTGCTATTTGCTGGTTCTTAGAAATAAGTCTTCTGAGTAGCTAGGATTACAAGTATGAGCCACTAGCACCCAGCTCAACAGATCTCTACACTTTAATGCCATTTTTAATTTCCTTATTGTTTAAAGAAATTGAGAATGCTTATAACTTCAAATAATCTATTGTCTGCTCTACAATTTTCCATCATCTTTGCTGAACAATGGGACTGTATTTCCCATTAACTTGAATTCCTACTCTTTGATAAAAGAAAGTTTCTTGATTGATAAAACCAGTCTCTTCTTACACCTGAAATGGCACCAAACGAGACATTCAAAAAATATTGCTCCACTCTACTCAGCCTCACCTGTGGAAACCTGTAGAGGTTCAGAAATGTCCCAATTTGTGCAGATGTTAATCCTGACGGTCCTGTCAGTACTGCTATAGACTTGCTCTCTCTCATACAGGAGTAGTTTGGAATGTTGTACTTCCCAAAGAGGCTGATGAAGGGGTTTTTAAGTGTTTTCCAAGCTTCAAATTCAACATTACAGATATCAAACCCCAGAGTAAAGTTATGTAAAAGATGAGGGTTTTCATTGATCTCTTCAATAGCAAAAGTCAAGGCCAAAACAAACTGGTAGTTCTTGAAGATAAACCTGAGCATCAAATTTAGAAGAAGTACTTCAAAACTCATAACTGATGGATTGAATGCTTGTTTCTCTTCCAATGAATATGTTAAACCATTACCCCAAATTGGGATGGAATGTGAATGTAGTGTCTTATGCATTTATACAGGATTAGATAAAGACACGAGTGACATTCAGAAACATACTTAAACTGAAAGAGATCATACTTATTCTCCATTACCACATGCACCACAGCAAAAGCTCTACTCCATTAAATATGGAATAGGCTTTCATGAGGCACCAAATATTCTGTTGCCTTTATCTTAGTGGAAAATCTTATGTTTTGAGTCACTCAGTTTATGTTATGATGACATGAAGCATATAGTTGTGGAGGTGGGAGGGAAGGGATGGTAAGGGAAAAACAAAAGAGGAGGTAACAATGCTTGATAGCAATTGTACTCATTACCTTGCTCGTGTAACTGTAACCCCTCTGTACAGTATTTTTACAATAAAAATGTATTAAATTTAAAAAAACCTCAGGGATATAGTCTGAGCTGGAGATGCATGCTAGAAATATATTATGTAAACGCTGCTTCCCTGTGGTGGTTGTTAAGAAGTAGATACTTCAGATATATTAATTAACTTGTTAATTAAATACTTGCAACATCCATTGTAAGGAAAGATCATTGTAAGGAAAGAGACTACAGATTATTAACTTAAAGACCCTTGGAGATAGAATGACTTTACATTTTCATTGCTTATTTTTGTCTTGGTAAAGTTCTTCACATAAATGCTGTATGAATTAGAGGCTTTTTATTTCAGTTATGACTATATTCATAGGTATATAACTTACTGTACTATTAGTTATTCATGCATATTTTACCTGGATCTACCTCTGTTTAAAACAAACCAGCCAGTTTTCATGCAAATGTTCTGGAACAGAGAGGTGACTTCTGAAAATCATTGCTTAATTTCTTTAGTAGAAAATACAGGAAGAAGGAAGTAAGTTTGTTCCAAGAGTATTTTGTGCATGTATCTAAATATCACAATGGAACTCCTTCAAAATATAATTTGTACTAATTCACAAAGAAAAATTTTAAAAATCCAAAAGAATTACAGCTTTGTTGATGATATACAAAGCCTAAAAATTGTAGATACCTTAAGTAATTAACATTACCTGCACCTGAAATCCTAGCTCATCAGTTGGCTAATATCTAAGAACCCTGAATCAAAACCACCTGGGGCAGAAAAGCTCACTGACATTCTTAGCTCCAGTAAACCAATATAAAGTCAGAAGAATGGCTCATGTGGTAGATCATCAGCCTTGAGAGAAAAGGCCACTCAAGAGTGCAAAGCAAGCTAAGCATTAGTGGTTCATGCTGTAATGCTAGCAAACCAAGGAAGCTGAAAATGAACAGAAGAAATTACACAAATGGGAGAGAAAAAATGATATAAGGTTTAAAAATGGTCATAAATAGAGAAGCTGACTTTAAACAAAGTATGTCACATGGAGGGTAGAACTACAATATGAACCATGTAGTTGGCAAAGTGCCATATTGCATAACAATTGAGAAAGGTTGTCGGAACATCAGTGGATATAGAATTGAGTCAAATATCTAACCTACTAATGCTAACTGCAGTGTTACACTTATCTACAATGAAGAGTTCATGAATAAATATTTCTATTTGTAGTTAGTACCATGTATGAAGTTGTACTTAACCCAGATCATATTTCTCTCCATACCTGTAGATAGCTAAAAAACATCCATTTGCTGAAATGACAATAAGTAATGTGTCCATCTTAGCACACTAACAAAAAGACTCAAACATACATTGGGAAATTAAGAGAAGGAAAATCAGCAAAACATGGGCAGATTGTGGGGAATATATAAAATATGCTAAGCCAGGTGCTGATGCTTCATGCCTCTAGTCTTAACTAGTCAGGAGGCTGACATCTGAGGATTATGTTTGAACCCATCTTGGGCAGGGATGTTTTTGAGACTTGTAGTTTCCATTTAACAATCAAAAAGTGCTTGTTATGTACTTGTGGGTCAAGTGGTAGAGCACTAGCCTTGAGCAAAAAAGCTCAGGGACAGTGCTCACACCCTGGGCTCCCATGACCAGAACAAGAGAAATAAAGATCAGCAAACATACCAATGACATATAAAATAAAGACACATATCTTCTATAGCAGGGAAGAGAACACTTTTTATCCCTGCCACCTTGACTTTAAAGAGTAGGCATCTACCTCAGGGTACACTTGTCACACAAGCACTTGAAAAGAATTGAAATATTGGAGGCAATGACATTTTTCTTGCAGCAGGCATGGACTATGCTGCTAGAATCTCTTGAAGTTTCATATAGCCGTTTTTCTTTTATTTTGCATAGCCATTTGCTACTGAGAACCTCTGCTACAGGTCTAAAGCCAAGTATCTGCATGTGCACGAATAAACAGAAGACACCATGAGCAGATAAAATTCTCTTTTAAGGGATTTTTTTATAATACTTGGTTATGTCTTGACTGTGGAGAATATATATGACATGAAACTATGACAAAGCTTTTAGTTTGAAACAGTTACTATGTGTCTATAGAGAGGGGGGAGAAGAAAGAGAGAGAGGGAGAAAGAGAGAGAGAGACAGAGACAGAGAGAGAGTCCTAGAGTTTGAATCAGAGGCCAGATACTGAGCTTATTTTCTCAAGGCTAGCACTCTGCCATTTGATCCACAGCTCTCCTTCCAGGTTTGGGTGGTTAATTGGAAATAAAGGTCTCACAGATTTTTATGCCCTGGCTGGCTACAAGCCTTGATCATCAGATAACAGACTCCTGAGTACTTAAGCTTACAATCATCATCATACAATAAGAATTTTTTTATCAATATCCTCACAATATAAGTGTTAGCAAAAAACACCTTCTCAGACCACTGATCTATGGTGAAGGAAATGTGTCTGCAGCCTTTTAGTACTGAACTCATGCATTGACTTAGTTTGTAATAACATTATTTCATTCACTCCAATGACAGCTGGGATGGAGGAGATACAGGGACGCTGTAAAAAAAAGAGAAGAGGTTACAGCCCTGGAAAGAAAGGAAACCTCAAGTCCTCTCCTATTAGCAGCCAGAAAATTACTGCACAGTAGGTCCAAGATAAAATAATGAAAGGAAGGAGTTTCTGGTTCATAGAGATGGGAGGTCAGGGGAGAGAAGACAGAGAGCATTCATCTGTGCATCCAGAGTCCCACAGCCATTGCCCAACTGGAGAACAAATTAGTAAATGGAAATACAATGATGAGTTACTTACAGCTTGCTTTGTTCGTCTCCAGAAGCATCACTGTGACTGCGATCTGTTGCCAAAGTATAGAGAGGGAAAAACCCAGCAATCATCACATCTCCATCCATGTGTGCTCGTTGCTTCATAGTAGAAAAGCAGCTAGTGCCAGCCCAGGACCTGACAAGGAGGGGAAGCTGGAGAAGAAGGAATGTGAACATCAAAGGGCTCATCCCTGATGCACCTGCCAAGCTGAAATTCTCTCTGGAAAGGAGTGAGCCCCACAGTCTCAGGAACGTATATCCATACCTGTTTCTGTAGGTGCACATGTGACTTTTTATTAACAGAGAGGTACACTGTAGCCCACTTTCATCAAAGCCTCTGTGAATCCCCAGGAAGAATGGGTAAAACTTCCCTGGGGCTCTGCATCTGCGGCCCTGCATCCAAGATAAAAACATAAATTGGAAAACATGATTTCAGATTCTACTTCTTCATCCTAGGTGATGTGATTTCCTCCAAGACCACAGTTAGTGAGTCCCCAGGGATGAAGTTGTCTTTGATATATTTGGTCCAACTTCTGTGTCAAACTATTTTCATGAAAGACATTTGGGATGTTGCAACTGGATTGCATCAGAGGGTCTTATGTCAGATGCACAGTGAAATGGCCAGAAAAACAATTTTTGCTAGTGACACATCCACCAAAGTTAATAAGCTCAACATACCCAAATGTCAATTCACAAATCTAATTTCCATAACAGTCACAGAACATTGCTAGTTGATTCAAGCAGGTTTCAATAAAAATCCCATGTGAAGAGGTCTCCACAAATGCATGTATTTACTATTGTGTAATGAGGCAATGATGCTGGTGAAACTAGCAATTACATGTCAATAAGTCAAGGTTAATGCAGAAATTGTGTTGTACATTTACATTCTGAAGCATATAATTTTTACTAAACTTTCTCTATATACATGCATGAAGTTATTTTTATGGTGTACGTGTCTGAGAACATGTGGTCATCTAAGAAATTCTTCTCTATCACAAGCATTAATAAATATTACAATCAACAATATATTTCCTACTAGTCAAAATACATTAGACCCAAATTCCATGTAGACATCTCATTGGCCCTGAGAACAGAGATACTTTAGGGCTCAGTACTTTCTAATGAGTTTGCCAGTGGTCTATTATGATACTGTATTCATTACATTTTATAGAATATCTATCACTTAATTTTTAAATTCTTATTATCATGCTATATCTACAGTCAGCTTATTTAGACCTCTGTGTGTATGTATAGGTGTGTGTACAGTCTCACAGGTAGCTTCATATTATAACGTATTTTTAATAGTTTCTTGTGGAACCTACATACCAATTTTCCTACTGTATGTATGAAATTACATTCATCATGTGTATATACTCTTTCTCTTCATTCTTTTTTAGTAAAGATGCTGTCCAGGGGGATTACAGTACATGAGTACAGTAATGCGTCCATTTCTTGTTGAACATTGTTACCCAAATGCCTTTGTTTTTCTTCTACGATCCATTTGCTGCCCCCACAAGCCCCCCAAAGCGTAAAGGTCATTTTTGGCATAGTGTCCTGTGAGTGTTGATGTCCAATGGCGCATCCTTCATCTTTGTCTCAGCATTTTGTTAGTTCAAATCAGATCAATGCGTCTCCAACACACAGGGTGCCAGAATCAAAGACAGCGATGGCCAGGGGGAACCACTGGATCAGAGAAGAGACAAGAATCGAGGAGGCCAGGGCAGCGCCCGGGGCAGCCGGACAGCCCGGGCCGGCGGTC